TTTTTTTTTTTTTTTGAAAAATTAATGGTCTGATGAATGGAGACCATTAGTAAAAAGGCCATATTTATGTAATAAAAAGATACAACTTATGTATTCAAATTAAACATTTGAGTATAAAGTTGACTTGACAAATTAATACAAATGTAAAAATATTTGGTTTGTCAGCACCGCTCAGGTTCATTGAACTCCGCAAGTCTATGTACAGTAAAACCTGATCATGTTCTCCAGCGTGATTTTAAAAGCACCTTAAGCTTCAGTCTTTCATAACATTTCTTCGTTTAGCCAAAATGATTTCTAGGTTTAAATTCGATTTTGAATTTGATTCTCATTTTGTCCCCACCACATGTTCAAAATAATCACAATAATCACGAATGATAACTTTAATGAGTACATTAAGATGCGTAATGATTTGACAAAGCATCCATGCTGCAATAATCACCTCGTCACTATGAAACAATTACAAAATCAACTCTCAGTATTGCCAAAACCCTCTAATATTTCCCTGTTCACATGCATCTAGTTGCATATAAATTCAGCTTGCGCAGGTTAGACATTGTGTATTTGTGTGTATGCGTGTGTTACTGTTACAGATGTTTGCTTAAGCTGGCAAAATGACCACAGATATCAAGCAGATCAGATACTGAGATTGCTTCCTCTCCTTTAATGTTTCGTTTTTCATATCCTTTTTGTGCTATACATGTTTTTATATAACGGAACTACTGCTTTGAAGAAAATCTACTATTGAGAACCCATTTGCACAGAGCTTCCAGATTTCCAATCTGTGCATTTGTACTGGACCACACGAATCACTTTTTTATTTCAGCTGTTTACTTATTTTATTATTATTATTATTTTTATTATTTCCATCTGTCAATATTTGCCTCATTTGATAAAGAGATTCTATGTGGCACAAGCCTTTTATTTTGCACTGAATACGTCAGAAACCTTCATCTCCTCTGCTCTTCACGAGTAGACATGTTGAAAAAGTGAAACCTACATCAAACCTCAGACCATGAACCTGAAACGAATCTGTCGAGTCTTACGGTTGACCACTGCCGAGTGGACGATAATGTCGGTGCCACTCTGTGGATGTGATCGTGTCAAGAGTATAAATGCATTTAAGAAAAGAAAAAAAAAAAACTCCACTTGATACATACATTTTTTTATGTTTTACTGTAAGCTTCTTTTTATTTCTGTTGTCGAAAAGAAAATAGTATTTACTTGTGGCTTTTAAAATATATATAAAAATATATATATCTAAAAAAATATATAAAACAGGAATGTATATGAATTGTCAAATTGTACTTGTATTTTGGAAGAGATAGCAATGGTATTATAGAGGGCTATTTGTAGGAAAGAAAAATATGCATCATAGCAGCTTTATAGCACCATGTTTGAAACTTTCCTATATTTTTGGATATATGTTAGGGCTTTATATATGAATGACAGGACTTTTTCAATGTTTATATGCAAAAGCATTTTATATTATGTGTCCTGTGATTTGTCAGTAGTCTGGTAATGGCTAAAAGTCCCACAGCTTGAATTTCCATGGCTATTATGCTAGAAAATTCCTTGTAGTGTTGCTTTGTATCATTAAGGCCAAGATTTTGATGTTGTTGTAAATAGAAGAAAAAATAATTTCAAAAGGCAATAAACATTTTTATTGAGTAAAAAAAAAACACCAGCAGTTGTTCTGGCCCTAAATTATTTCTGACTCAATTCTTACTAAGAAAAATTTCCATTTCCATCATAACTCTCGGCTTAATGCTGGAACCTCTTAAGAGCTCTAGTGCTTAATAGCAGTCAGGTAGCACTGTGACCTTCACTGACTGTCCTCTCCTCTCATTTCATTAGCAGCTGCCTCTCTCACGGTCGGTCACACTAGACTCGCTGCTCCCATTCATTCAGCATATGCTTGGAAGTTCTCTCTTTTACTACGAAGTTTAGGGTCGGTGAACTCATCTGAAGTCATAAAGCGAAAAGAAAGATGTTTGCACAATAGAGGGTCTAAACCTCAGATTGGCTCAATGCAAATAAATGAAACTTTTTCAAACTCCACAGCTGCGTGATTTGCAATGTTGTGGTTCGAGTTTAACCTGATCTCACTGGAAAATGTTTTACGAGGTGGCGATTTTGTATGAATCTGTACAATGTGAATCATATGGAAACCTACACTCTAAAAAATGCTAGGTTAAATACAACCCAGTGCTGGGTAAAATAGGGACACACCCAGCAATTGGGGTGTTTTGACCCAGCGGTTTGGTTAAATGTTTAACGCAACCTTCTGGGTAGTAACCCAACCGCTGGGTCAAAACAACCCAATTGCTGGGTCTGTCCCTATTTTACCCAGCACTGGGTTGTATTTAACTCAGCATTTTTTAGACTATAGGATTTTTAGGGAAAAAAAGCATGAAGGCCACTAATTCCACCACTAAACATCTGCTCACATACCGTCTGAACAGATCATAAAGAAATTATACAAATTAGCCACTAATTTGCCAAAACGTAAAATCGCTACGAATTACCATGAGATTGTGTTGGAAATTGCGAAGATCATGAAGCAGAGATCACTAATCAGATCCGAACCCAACATTTGAATTGAACTGAATCTATTTGAATGCTTTAACTGAATCCTAGAGCGTGACGTCATATCCTGTCATGCTTAAAGCCTAGTGTGACCGTATCTTCAGTCTGTCCATTCACTTGACTGCTACTAACCATTAGACACATTTGCCACAGTTGTATTCCTTTGTATTTTCTAAGTGTTTTCTCTCTTGATTTCTTCCTTCTTAACATGTGACCTGTCAGGATAAGCTGTTCCTCATGCTGTGTGTAAAATCATACTTTTACCTCATGATTTTACCATTTTACAAAGATGAAGACCAACAGTTCTTCCACGGCTCTCACATTCAGTCGACCCACAGCCAGAGTTATTATTTTGACTTGAAACATACTCTACGCAAGTACGTAAACCAAAAGCTTTTGAATACACAAGCTTGATTTCATACGTGTATGCATTGCGAACATTATTGTGAACTCTTTCGCAATGGCTGTTACTGTCATGACAAAACAACTGTTTGAAGAGCATCTTAAAGAGAAATTAGTTAAAGCTGAAGTCATTTTTTCATGAATAGCGTCACAAAAACAAATTGCATAAATGATTGTTTTCAAATTGGCTTGCCGAACACTCCCCCTGTTTTTAATTGGTCAGACAAACAGTAAGTCCCACCCTCAAAAAACGTTCAAGTCAAACTTTCAATTCAAGCCAAATTTATTTGCATAGCGCTTTTCACGATACACGTTGTTTCAGAGCAGCTTTACAGAAAATCGTGATGTTAATGTTTAGAATCTCTTAATATCATGTCTTAATGTTCGCATTGAGCATATTAGAGTTGGACGATAATATAATTTATGTTTTGCGACAGATTTGCTATATAGAATATATCACCCTACATGAGTATACTAGTATGTGACATACTAGTGTGGACATACTCATATCCAACTTTATATAAATAGCTGATCGACAATATAGTAACTTTTTTGCGAAAAAAAAAACTGATTTGCTTTTAAGTATATATAACGTCACATGAGTGTACTGTATATATGTAAATAAAGTTAGATATACTATATATCCTGTATATACATTTATAGAGAGAGTTGTGCGATAAATCCATTTACAAACACCACCATTAGTTTCGGGGAAACCTACAAAAGGCTTAATTATAAATTAACGAATTCACATTCAATTAAAATATTAAGCTGGGTTAAATATATAAAAATATAAATATACACTATATTACACTTCAATTCAGCAGAATAAAAACATATCTGGAATAATAACACGTTTGACTGAAAAGCGTTGTATTACTTTGCGTAAAGTATTTTCCTGCCTTTTCCCACTATATCATCCACTTTAACCGTTTTATGTCTTAGCTCAACGTTGCTGAGATATAAAAGCTGTGCTGTGGGGAGACTCGACTGAATCAAGAGCCTACTTGTGATCGGTTTATAAATAATTTTCATATTGTCATCCTGCTTTCACTAGCTGAAACTAATCTCCTCTATCTTTTGTTTCTTTCCTCCTTTCCTTGTTTCCCTCCCCCTTTTCTGTTTGTTTGTCTCTCTAACCCACTCAGCCACCACTGGCAACTAACCCCTGACCTTCTGACCTCTCCACCCAATGACGACCTGCCCATTACCTGCCTGCAGATCACACCTCTGCCCTAAAATGAATGAATGAAAGACAAAAAGAGTATCTAAGAGCTGTCACAGGCAGTGGATATACAGCTTCCCTAAACCTCGCTCGTTGGACGTGGGCGGCAGATGCCCGGACGTTCCTGCCGCTGTAGATCTGCACTCTTTGTAAGCAATAAGCAATAATGATTTGCCCCGCACCCTCTAAATCAAAGCCAGACCTCCCAGGTTGCTGTGCAAAAGCCTCCAGCTCAACGACGACACTGTTGAGGAAACGGACTGCCCTTCATCGCACCCCAACCCGTCGCTAGAGTAATGCTGCAGTTACGGTAATGAGTCTGAATGTAATGCATGATGGTGTGGATGATGCACCTCTCGCACTACGACCGCGGCTCGTCACGTGTCACGACGGGCCATTTGAGAAGCATTTCAGCTGAAAATACATTAAAAAGAAGAGTACTTCCCTTCTGGAACAATCCGACACTTTTCTGTGAACAAGCCTCTCTGAGGATGTATAAGCCATGCTTGCCTATCTGCTGTACAAATGTATGAAATTTGTAGATAAATGTTCAAAGTGTGATGAAAGAAAACATGTACAGGAACAACACTTTTATTATCCTCCAGAGAACATATATTTTTACAACTCGCTATTTTATATTGTCGAATATTGTGAAGAGAACAGAAAAAAACCGAACCCTTTATGAAGTGAAAACAATCCAGTTTTCTGTAATTGGATGTAGACGTGGATGACCAAAACAACCCTTTCGTAGAACCGATGGGGTTGAGAGGGAAATATCATTCAAGTGCCTTTGCCTTATCATAGTTCTCATGTTCAATATGAATGGCATCATGAGTGGCGAATGAGCAGACCAGGACTACATTTCCCAAAAGCATCGTAAGTCTACGTAGATCTGCATAGGCTTACGATGGATTTGGGAAATGTAGTGCAGGTCAGTACACACAGCTTTCCCTTCAGGAACCACATAAGTGACGTATCACTTGTTTCGGGTGGAGCAGCTCAACGCTCCATCCCAGTATTACACAGCGATCAAATCAAGGCCTTTCACACCACACGATTACTGTCAAACCGACGCCAGGAGTCAAGGTCTATTTGTTGCCTTCATCCTTCAGAATTGTGGGTATTTTGCTCACAGTACTTGAATTAATTTGCACTTTATGTTGACGTTTAGTGCATTGTAATATCAGTATGGTATTACAGATGGTATATAGGATATACAGTATTCAATGCCAAAAAAAACTATTTTATTCAGTATGTTTGTCTTCTTTTACAGTAAAAAATATCTAAATATCTTAATATATATATATACGAATAAGAAGTTTGTGTATGATAAAGAGTTTTCAGAGAATATATGAAGAGTTCGTTTGCAAAAACGATAACGAAACGAGGGGGCAATCGGCATGCACCGCGAGCGTTTTTTCAAGGAAAAAGTTCCGCTCTCGTTTGTCTCTCTTTTCGAGGAAAGAGGGGCAGCCATCTGCTTCCCACGATTCAGGACCCGCCGCTGCTGAGGCACGGAAGGGAATGAGCTCGTGGGGATCGCAGGTGGATCTGGCCGACGTTATTTTTTTGGCCATAACCCTCCAGCTCAGGTGAGCCTTCCTTTCTTCCTGTTTTCCATACAGAGATTGAGAAGGAATGGAAGAGGCCGTTTTTTCCTCACGCATCCATCGATTCCAGCAAAAAAAGCGCGAAAGCGGTTATGAGAAGATGCCCCTATAGAGAGATGCTGGCCAGCTATCTCTCTATGGATGAGACGTCCTCTTTTAAGACTCCATCCTTGCCAGGGCATACGCAGCAGCAGCAGCAGGTCGGGCTGTCGCTTCATTGCACACGATGGTGATGCCCCAAGCATATCAGGCTGGCCTGCTGAAAGACCTGGATAAAGGCGAGGGCCTTTCTCCTAATGAGGTAGCTGAGTGCGGGCAAAGGCGCGCTCAGCGGCCTTTACGAAGATCCAGGTCTGAGTCCGAACAACCCAAGGGGTCCTGGTCCGTCTCGGTTTGAGGATCAGAGACGGGCACAGAAGGCTAGTGTCGCGGCTCACGCTCCTCCCCCACCCGCGGGTAGAGGTAGGAATAATCACGGGTCAAAGGAAGGTAGGTGAAAGACCTAAGGGATGTGATCCAGAGAGGGCGTCAGCGCTTTGTCCGGATCAGAGTGATACCTCAGTATCTACTCATTTCCTTCGGGGGTCTTACATCTGCCCTTATCTTCCCCTTCCTAATTCCCCTGTAACCACCATCTCCCAGCACTCAACCTGACCGAGGTTAGGTAGGAATTTCCTGCATTACATTCTCCAATGCTGGACCTATGATGTTTGGTTGGTTCTATGACTTCTTAGTGACCACCTTACTGATGGTCCGGACCAGAGGCTTCTTCGGACTGGGCTCTGACGCGGGAACCATGGTGTGTGAGTACGATCCATTTCTAAATAAATGACAATGAAGATGCCTGACAAACGTTGTTGTTATTTTGATCATAAACCGTATGGATGTGATTACATGCAATACACGGAGATTTTCCCTCATCATTGTAGCGCGCTGCTTTTGCAAGGCTCCGTGAAAACGTTTCAGCTTTTATTTTCCTTTTTCGCCCTGAAGAAGATATCACAGGTTCATCAAGTTCGTCGAAATGATCCATCCTCGATCACTTTTAGTCAGCTTTGACGAAACTCCTCTCAGCTAGCACGTCTTTTCAAAGTGACCTGACCTGAATACAACGCGCTGATTCACTAAAATGGACTTATCGGCTTCTTTTCAAAAACAGCAGGGCTTCTGCAGTAAAACGTGAACTCGCGATGCCTTGAAAGTGGATAAAACCAGCTTTTTTGACAAAACGTGTTTAGGGTTCAGATCGTGCTATATGTGGAGAATAATGCACGGCAATCAGCTCTTTTTTTTTAAAGTGGCGTTTATTGGTTTTTGCAAATGAACTCTTCATGTACAACTTAAACACCAATTGGTCAAAAGTTTAAGATTGTTTTAATGTCTTTGAAAGACGTCACTTCTGCTCACCAAGACTGTGTGTATCTGATAAATACAATAAAATAGTAATTTTACAAGTTGGCCTGCCCATCCGGTTCTGATAGTTAATGGTAAACAAACTGGGCTTGCTGTCCTCAACGGAGGTTGTCTGTTTTAATATATTTTAAAATGCAATGTATGTCAATGTTGAAAACGTTGTGCTGCTTAATATTTTAAGTACTACCATTCAAATGTTTGGGGTAAGTTAGGTCTTTTAAAATACAAAAGATTTCTATTTCAAATAAATTATGTTCTTTTGAAATTTCTGTTCATCAAATAATCTTAATATTTCCACAGAAACTGAAACTTTTCAACATTGATAACAATAAAAAATGTTTTCTTGAGCAGCAAATCAGCATATTAGAATGATTTCTGAAGGATCATGTGACACTGAAAATTCAGCTTTGCATCACAGAAATAAATTACATTTTCAAATATATTTAAATAAAATAAACAGTTATTATAAAATGCTCATTTTTAAATCTTATTTATCATATATAATTATTATAACAGTGTACATGCTGTAAATAATTATCTGGTTTTGAGAAAATATATATCTTGAATTAAGTTTATGTTTCTTGTTTTAAGCATAAAACTCAGAAAATAAATAAAACATAATATAAATAATATAATTATATAAATAAAAAACTGCCAGTGGGATGAAAACAATACATTTTTAATCAAGAGATATTATCTGACAAGACATTTTAATACATGATTTTGCTTCTCAATTCAAATATTTTTTGAAAACAAAACGAATGCTGATTAAAAGTGATATTTTCTGGATATGAAAGTATGTAGGCGGTGATGGTGGATAAGCTGTGTGTACTGCCTGCGCTGGCCTGCACCGTATCATTGTAATGTGCGTCCCCCTCCAAACTCTTTCTTTACTATGCAACAGAATGGCCTCTGACGTCTTGAGGGGAGTCTCTGTGACATCAAACATGTCTTCCTGTTGTGTCTGCATTCCTCTCATTTGTACTTATGATTCTGCAGTGCCATCACAGTATAATATCAAAGAAGGTATATCAAGGCGTGATGTGTTTGAAAATGCTTTGGAATACAAATGTGAATTATCTACATATTTAAAGCAGATTTTGATTAGTAAGAATACAGAAATGTGATTATTTAAAAAAAAAAAAAAACTTAAATATGAGAGGTGAGTACAGTAATTGATAAAGCATGATGTCTCACTCTCAATAGAAATTAAACATATATTAGACTGATTTGTCCTGGTTTTGCGATTGAGTTTTTAAGTTTTAAGGTGAAGTGTGTAATTTCTGACACCAAAAAAAAAAGTGAAAAATAATGATTTTTTTCAAGCATGTCTTCTAAACCATTTCCCCACCTGCCATTGGTCAGTCCAACAAGTCCCGCCCCCCGACTCGCAGCATTGGTTAAGCCAAATGACAACATATCGACCCGTGTTTTGAAAGAAGTCAGTAGTTGTTTCTCTACATTAAACTGGGATAAAAAGATTTGAACAAAAAAAAATTACACACTTCAGCATTAAGAATCAAGTTTGATCATGTGAATGTCTTTTATCATGTGGATATGTGCGTACGACATGCCGTCTTTCAGCCCCAAACGTGTGTGTTCCCTGCCCAAGTATTGCCTATGAGAAGACATGTCTGTTTTAACAGCCATTGTTACAAGTTTATAATGTATTTTTCTATCTTATTTTGTATGTATGTAATAAACAACATTAAATGCCTTGTCTCTGTATCCTGAATAGATGAAAAGAGGTCTTTCCTGACAGTTTCATAAGTTATAATTGCGCTTTTTGTTCATTAGAAGCCAATAGCACATCGGGGTGTTTTATCATAAGAAAGTAATATCGCATATCATTATCCAGCAGCGATTTATCATCGTGGTTATTTGCTGATGTGACCAAACAGGGTCCTTGGTGGAGTTTCTGTAGCTGGAGACTCGGGTGCTGTGCATCTGTGCCAAGAAAGCACTTTCACAATTGGTGGAGCTCTATTTCATCTTGGCCTTAATAAGTCATGTGCTAGCTGCCTTTGTCATTAGCTTCAGAGCTACATAATGCAGGGGATATTTACCGCTCTTCCCTAATAGACAATCAATCAGTGAAGTGTACTCAGTAGAAGAGATGTTTCTCTTTGCTCATGACCTTGACCAGGAAAATCAATACAGCATCAATAGCACCTCAACAGAATACACTACCACATTATTGGATTTTGCCATGGTCAGTATTGCCAGATGAGCACTTTTACTGATTAAATGTGCTGGAACTGCAACATATAGCTACAGATATCACATTATGGCAATACCTTTTACTGCATTTAATTACATTTGTAAACTGTAATTAGATGAGCTGCATTAAAAAATAGCATGTCATTATAGCCAAATCCTCCACTGATGCGACCGGCCAATCAGAAACTAGTGTTCCAGAAAGTGGAAGAATTGTTTATTGTGATTATTGCTGAAAATAAATATAACTATTTAATGATTAATGGTGTCTTTCATCATATTGTTGTGGTAAACATTTTCAAATAAGGCCGTAGAGGTTGTCATGTTATACCGTGCAGGGGTTTTTAAAGGGGTCATATGATGCTGCTAAAAATAACATTATTTTGTGTATTTGGTGTAATGAAATGTGTTTATGCGGTAAGGAAAACTTGAAATCGCATCATATGACCCCTTTAAATGAAAAGCCCCATCAAATCTAATGATCACCATGTTAAAATTCCTAAAGGCAGCTGTATATTTTTATGCATAAAAACACATTTATACTGTGTGAGAAATAAATAATTTGTTGTTTGACTGCTATATTGTCATAGTGCTAAAGCAAAATGGTAAAATATGTCTGTCTGTCTTTCTGTCTCTATATGTCTGTCTGTCTCTATCTGTCTGTCTGTCTGTCTGTCTGTCTGTCTGTCTGTCTGTCTGTCTGTCTGTGTGTCTGTCTGTACATCCATCAAAACTTGATGCAGATTTTTTCCTTAATCTAAAAAAAAACTAGTACAATAAAATAATCACAATTAATATAATTAGTTCTGAACAGTCTTTAGAAAGCAGCACATTTGGTTAATGTAAAAACCTGGAGGAGTGTAATGCTGACTGACATCTCCAGAGGCACTCATCTTTTGATTGAAATATATAAAAGCCATTATTTCACAGTAATACTTCGGTGATTACAGATCAGTGTAACTGCAGAATCAAAGT